ACACTCATATTATTATTATTGGGGGGACCGCGCACCGTTACGATCTTCGAGCGCGGGGATCTCCTTTTCGGGTCTGCTGGGGAGCTGGGGGAGGTGTGATGGGTGGCTTCACGGCTTCTTGTGAATGTGGGGTTCGTTGGGATGTTATCTGCATTGCTGAGATGATTGGGATCTGGAGGTTTGGAGTCGCTTTTTTTTCCCCTCTGCTTTCCATGTGAACAATCAGTGTTTCGCGCTCTTGTTCCAAATTTCAGTTGTTGTTGACTTTCTCTTTTTCCTTCTAAATTTCTGTGGAGAGTCCTCCAATACCGGATTATAATCATGATGAAATTGAAACCCCAGAAGGAATAAATGAATGAAAAGAGAGAAAGAGAGAAAGAAAGAAAGAGGAAATGTTGTAGTATATAATATTCCCATTTTACAAGCCCTTTTCATTCCAATCCAGTGTCCCGTGTCCCGTCTCTCCCTACTGTATCCAACACTATCTTATCCATCAAAACTAAACAGAAGTAAAGTAAAGTAATAAGGTGAAAAGCAGAAAAAGAGGTCTCGAGCACAGAATTGATGAGGAACGACTGAAGAGAAAAGAAAAAGAAAAAACTACCCCACGAACGAAAACGAAAAATAAGAAAAATAAGAAAATAAGAAAAAGAGGAGAAACAAACAAAAACATCACTTTTATTCACCATTCAATCCTCATCCTCCCATCCCGATGCCCCACTCCCTCCTCCTCCGCCTCCGCCATTCCTCGTCGACCCATTCGAAAAGTCCAGTTTTGCAAGGTACTCTGGCGGTACCGAAGGCTGGTACCTTTTTTCCCTCTCACGATTCATCCCGCCTAACCCGGCACCATAGGATATCAGCATATCCGTGTTCGTCGGTAACGAGAATGGCAGCATTAGTCCCGAGTCTAGCTGTAAGTTCTCCTTCGGAGAGTCCTCTTCGTCTTCATTTATCACTATGGTAGGATTGCTGTTCTGCGGGGATGATGGGAGTTGGCTTTGGCTGAGTGTGTTGTTGCCGGCGACTGGGGATATGGGGGTACTATTCGCCGAGTTCCCCTTCTTGGGTGTGGCGGAAAGGGATTTGGCCCGATTGTGGCTCTTGTCGTAATTCCTCATCTTAAGGCCGACTAGATGCTTCATTGCCTCTCTGGAAAGTCCGTTCTCGCCAACCTCTGGTCTGTAATCCTTCGCCGAGTGCAGGAGTTGTTCGGGGTTTAAGTGCGTGAGTTGGCCGATTGTTGACCTTAAGGCGTCAAAGTCCTCGCCCAGGGAACTAAAGCATTGGAGCCACTGCAGGAGTTGGATGACAGGTACTAAGTGACGCCTCGCTGCGTCAGCCACGTTCTCACCGCTAGTTGTCAGCGCCCCGCTCTCATAGTGCTCCGGTTGGCGGTTATTTGCTCGTGCCCAGTCTTCCAGCGTTGAAACATTAAGGCGGATTTGCATGGCTTTTGTCCGGGCGAGGTATTTCCGATTGTTAATGATGCGATTGAAGAGCTCCGCACCGATCCAGTAGAATAGTTGGCTCATCACTTGTGAAATGATCACTGAGTGGATGTCATACAGATCCAGAACAAATAGTGTAGAGGAGAGCAGAGAGGTGATATTGCGGGGAGCGGGCTTTGCCCGCTGCTTTGGAGATGGCGGCCGGTACCGCTTCTCAAGCATTGAAGGTTCGGGTGATTTCCGCTTGGGCTTGAACAGCCGCCATTCGTTCTGGAAATGCACATCCTCAAATCCCGGGATGGTCTCATGATCTAGCATCGCCTGGTCCATCACCCTATCCATCCGTCTCTCAGCATCCCGCAATATGAGTATAAATATCTCGTTTATCAACTCTGAGAGGTGCTGCTGGAACTCAATCGTGGCGCCCACCAGGCCAGCATCCTTCTTCAGATAGTGAAGTAAAAGGTTTGCATTAGAAATCCAAAACGCAAGAATGGTCATATCCAATTGATGCATAGCTACCACATTATTAATCTTATCCATTGCAGACAAGAGAAGCCGGGACAAGAGCTCAGGAGAACTATGATAATGCGCATACCGAGCGCTAAGAAATAGCACATTTGCGGGAACAGGTTTCTGGCTCGGTGACCGCTGTGGTAACATATTGGTTATGACAACATCCAGCATCCGGTTTAAATCGTGTTCTTGGAAGACAAACATCTGATCGTTCAGACACTTATCCCACACAAAATCTTGGAGCTCATCGCCCTCCTCATCTCCAGGTGACTGTCCGTAGGTTAGTCCACATCCACTGAACGGTCCAAATCCCCCAGGGATAATCCCTGATCTTACCTCCGGCCGCTCGTCAAGCCCCAGGCTCGCAAGGTCCACTTCCAAATTAATCGCACTCTCCATCATCATCCTTCGCTTCATCTCATTCTCCGCCATTTCCTCCTCAAACCTCTCCTGAGCCAAGCCATTGTCGTAAAAGTCATCACTAACCCCCGCCGTACCAATGTACCCACTCCGATGCAGATAGGCAGATATCTCACTGTTAGGTGACACAAAGTCAAATGCTCTTCTACCCGAAGAGCTCCGAATCTCTGGTGACGCTCCATGATCCAACAAGAGCTTTGCTATCCCTTTATGCCGGTTCGTCATAGCCCACATCAACGCGCTCCACCGGTGCCTATCCTGTTGATCAACATTGGCTCCCGCATCCAAGAGAGCGGAAACAACGTCCTCATGTCCCTATTCCAACAAGGTTTCAGCCCTAATGCCCCTTCGCACGAGAGGGAGGCAAGACACGAAACTCACGAAGCAGCTTGCATATATCAAGGGGCTTGTCCCCTCCTCATCCGGGGCATTAACATCTACATAACCCTTCCCTTCACCTTCCAATATCCTCCGTATCCGAGCCTCATCCCCGTTACTGGCAGCCATGTTGAGCGCTCTCTGTAGCGATTCCCTCTTCTCCTCCTCTGAAAGATTTGGATCACGGGCGATATCGCCCTCGTCCCCCAGGCCCGACCCACCCATCCGGAACGCTTCCTGAGCTGCCAACATAGAAACAAGTCTACTGTCACTGTCCACGATGCCCTTCACCAACTCTTCATCGTCGTCGCCATCACGGTAATCCGGTTCGAGATTGAAATTTAACCGGGCGGGGACGGGTGCGGTTATAAATTGAGCTTCACCTATTGACAATAAATCAGGCATTGGGCCACAGTCAGCTTCCTCAGCCTTGGCAAATTGAATTTGAACATGAACACCGGCTTCTGAAAGGGGGGGAACCGAATCAGGGGCCAGGTGAAGAGGAAATGATGAAGAGGTGCCGTCTGCGGGGTCAAGGCACCACCGCGGCAGCAGTAGAAGCGGATGATGAAACCATTATATCAAAGACATCAAGAGATGAGCTGGCCAGTCACCATACCTTGCCAGGCGTCATAAACTTCGGTTTCGGTGGTGAGAGGCGGAGTCCTCCGCCGATCGTTGAGAGATCTGGGAAGGTCCGGGGGAAGAACGCGAGGCCGTACAGAGCCAACCTGGGAACCGCTATCGTCGTCGTAAGGATCCCCCAAATCCATCTGGCAGAGGGGACGGGGAGAGGTGCTGCTAATTCAATAGCTTTATTGGGGGGGGTCGTCAGGGTTACTAGAAGGGATGGGATAGGTGGATGAGCTTCGCCTTCGTCCTCTTCCTCTTGTCTCCCTTCTTTATGGTTGAGACTCTGCAGAAAATGCAGCTGTAGCGGGTCGCTATGCATGCCTGAACTGCCAAGACCACCTCGATTTCTTATATTATAATACGGCTCCGCCCCATCGGTGGCCGTGGTCTCCCCTTTTCCCGTAGAATACTGCCGACCGATTCAAGACTACGGTATCCCGATCCAACGGAACATTCTATTCGAGTAATCAAGCTTCCGCTCCGTCTCCCGAATCGGGGAAAGAAAATCCAAGAACCGCTACACACACATTGCGGTACCGTACCGGTACCATACGAGTACGAGTACAAACTCTCACTTTATGGCTTTGTCTGACACGCGTTACCACACGATACGTTCAAGTTCGAGTTTAACCCTACGGTACGGTAAACTGATCGTTCCATAGAATTGGGAACAAAGTGATCAGAGCAACCCTGGTCCCCCCCCCCCCCAAAAAAAAAAGTTCGAAAACCGGCATGATAAATAGCACGAAAAGAGCCTGCACAAGCTCCCTCTCAACCTAAACCTCCAGGTCCCCAGCCACCCATTCCTCCCTCGCCTTCCGGAAACAAATATCCTGCCGCTGGTCCTGCTCGAAGCATCTCTTAACTCCCCGGGCACATTCAACATTCACACTGCAATATGAAGCATCAACCGGCAAGGCAGCAGAATCTCGGTTACACCCCGCGAGCACATCCGACGCCCCAAAATGCATACCCTTACCGGTACTCGTATTCATCCACCATCCTCCCAGATACGCGCTTCTATACAAGTCCAAGAACACCAAAACAAATCACCCATGTCATTTCTCCATCAGTTACGCTTAATAGAGCAGCACTTATTGACCTACGGCACTCACCCTACAGTACTCATGCAGCAGGAGTACTTGAGCTCTTTCCCACCCGGGCCCCCTCCGCATTAGAAATGAGACGTCGTGACCCACCGGAAAAGCTGGCCGAGTGGCCGCCCGGCGGGTAGGCACCGCATCTACCAAACTCCTGGCGTCCCTGCACTGTATTGAATGCAGGTGGGACGGGTAGGTGGTAGGTTAGCTCTTTAGCATTCCACCGGGTAGAGGTGATACGATACGATACTATGATGCCCTGTGCCGTACCGGTAAGTGGACCGAAGGAGGTGTGATTGGCTCTTCGGCCACCTAGGCCACTGACTTGGAGAGTAGCGCATTCATCTTGAAGCCACTGTGGCAGGAGGGCTTAGAAGGTACGGTTGACATTTTTCCACCTTCGAATTAAGCCAGGATTCGCCAATTTTTGGTCAGTGAGAGCCGAAACCGCCTCACTTACACCCACACAAAGTTAGAAGCCGTTGCAATCGAAACGGTATTCTGAATCACAACGTTCGAAATGTATGCTAACACCACATGATTGGATGGTGGTGCTATGTTGTACTCTAGCCAGATACAAGACATGTCTTGGACGGCCAACACCCGCCGTCCACCACGGAACTGTCTCGCTACGAGTAGATGTAGGAGATGGCTTTCGACGGGTGACGAGTGGTGATCACGGGTTCTGGCCAGAATAGTTGGCCCTGAAGTGGAGCTGGCGGAAGAGGTGCCGTGCTGAGGAGAGAGCTGGTACTGTACTCGAGTACGATAAAGTTCTTGATAACCCCTCCGGGGGGGTATCATACGATACTGCCTCGGAGGAACGTGGAGCTCCCTTTTGTTCTCTCTCTCTCCGTAAATCTAGTCCCATAGCGAATACCTATCCATCATACCCCTGGCGCTAGGAATAAAAAAAACCCGAGACACGGGCAACCCATGGATCGCCTCCTGCAAGGGTTCGCTGAAAGTCGCTCGAGTGAACGTCGTCGTCTCCGAATGTGGAAAAATAGTAAATTAAATTATTATGGGGTGAAAATACAGTATCACGCTCACTCGCCGGACAGAATTCGCAGATTTGCAGATCCACGCCCACGAGAATGTCGTCCAATCCGATGGCCGTGATTCGATCAACTCCCTTTTCCCCATTCCCCAAAAGAAACGTCCGTAACCACCTCAGACTACCAGCAGCATATGCAAACTGCAGCTTACAGGTATATACGAGCAATCCATCATGCCACTCTTGCAGTGAAGTAAATAGAAATTTGAGATTTGGCCCTGTCGTTCCCTAAAGCGAGCGCTGATACCGAACTTCTACTCCGTGTACTCCGCCGTAGAAGCTTAATCGAGTGTTACCGCGGTCACCTCGGTCCCAATACCGTAGATTATGTCCTCGTACGGTAGTGGCAAGGTAGCCAGACAGGCTCGTCTCTTCCACCCCCCCTTAGGAAGCCCGTGCGTTAAAAAATGCCAGATACGCCGTTCCGAGTGATAATATATGAATACCTCAATCCCATTAACTCATCCATCCCTCCATATATACTCACCACCCAACAGCAAACGTATGATGGCGCAAGAAACAAAGCCAGCACTTGCCAGCAGGAACGGCTCAAAAGAGATCGTCGGAAGTTTATGCATTCACGAATGCGGCAGGGTTCACGGATGAGGTGACCAACGGCCCAAGTCAGTCAAGTCACAAATTCTTACTCCGGACTACTCGTACGTATTTTTCTTTTCTTCTTCTTCTCCTCTCCTCGTGACATCTCTTTGCCACCGTTCCTTTTTCCGGGTAAACATCACCGAAAGCAGAGCGTGTGAAAGGGGGAGAGGAGGGGGGCATGTTGGTTGAGGTTGTGTTGATGCGATCGCGTTGATTCCGGCTCTTGTGGAAGGAGGATTACGGTATCATATGAAATTTTCACCACCGAGAGGCATTTCTTCTCCAGGGAGGATATCCCGGACCCCGCATAGATTGATGGCCCAAGGCGGGGAGTAGAATAAAACATAAGAAAATAGGGATAAAGAGAAAAGATTGCTTTCTCCGTCTCGCAGTGCTGGAAACGATACCGTACGTCCCAATATATTTTTTTCCCCGCGGGCATCGACACGGTACAGTACGGTGTACTCGAGTACGTATGGATAAAGGGGAGAAAAGAGGGAGAGATTACTGTGGAGCAGACGACCAACTACCGTCAACGTTTAACGGGGGTGGGAGGGAAAGGGAAACAGGTCATCATTTCTCGCGCCACGCTCTGGGCTGCCAGGATGCCAAGCGAGCGACGGTTTGGGAAGGGTCTTTGCTCGAACGGGACCGATCGACACGAATTCGGCCGCAAGCGGAGCGAAAGGCGGAGCGAGGAACACCCAAGCAGGATGGAGGGTTGTGCTACGCAGTGGAGATTGCGCTGCCGGGGAGGAATCGAGATGGGGCGGCGAGTGAAGGGTCATCCCGAAAGAGGGTTCCCAGGGAAAGGATGGGTTCGTGGGACGGGTGGATGGGGGCGGATGGATGGGGGCGGATGGAGGGGTGCGAGTGTAGGGATGAGCGATGGTGCGAGTACGGTTCAGGCACTGGTACCGGTATCGTACAGACAGCGATGACCGCCGTAGGAAGGTGGCCAAGCAAGTGTGGTACGGTGGTGAGCAGGTGGAAAAAAAAAAACCGGTGGGCACGAGAGATAAAGTACCGCTCGTTCCAAGATGTGTACTCGAGTAAAGGGAACCGCTGTTCGAGCATACCTCCGGAGGGGGGAGGGGGGGCAAGCTTTATTACTATGGTACGGTGCCTTACATTCCCTCTTGTTTTCCCCTTGTTGCTGCTCTGCTCCTTCTGCTCTTGCCCCTCATCGTCCTCTGCTTCTCACCCCCGCCCTCACTGTCACCGACCACGGCCGCGAGCTCCTGAGAGTACCGGTATTTGTGGAGAGACTCGAGTGCGTCTACAAGTACTTTTTATACCCACGTCACGGTACCTACCGTACTCGTACCGGTACTTGTTCCCCATTCATCTTCCCCTTTCTTCCCTCCTCCTCCTCCCCCTTGGTGGTTAACTTGGAGATGCGGATAGCGTGCTTCCCCGTTTTGCATCCAAATAGAGAAATTTCGTTTTTCACCTTCATCTGACAAGCCCCCCAGTATATTTTCAGCACATCCCAAGAGAGCAGATCAAGTTTGTGGGCGAACCAACCAGATCCCCGTAACTGGAGCTGCAGCCTACGGTTGGCAAGCCACAACATCACCGAGCGTCGCTCCCCCTTCCTTTCTTCTTTCTGGGCAGGGCACATTCTCTCTCTTCCACCAACCACAGCCTCTCGTCCTTGTATTCCACCGCTGCTCGTGCTTTCGTTGCTGATACGCTCAGCCAACCTTGTTCACCCCTTCTCAAATTGCGGACCTCGTCCGCTTTTCCGTGGACCGCACTGTCAGATCTCACTCGATCTATTATTATTATTATTGTTATTGCTCGGTGATCATCTTCGGAAATAGACTCTTAAATTTGGAAGGGTCCATCGAATAATAATATATACATCATTCCAGGAAAGAAAGGGCACAAAGAAGGTCAATTCCATCGAGAGCCCATTCCAACCAACAATGGGCCACGATTCATTGCCCCACAAAGCTCCTCCTCGCCCGCCCGCACCGACACCGCTAGTCCCACCTCAGAATGCGGGGATGACCTCGATGTCGACTCGCCCTCAATCTCAGCCCATTCCTATACCCACAATGAGGTCAAACCCTGTACCGCCAACTCCTAGGGACGCAACGAGCACCCAACAACCGCCTCTGATGTACCACCTAAGAGCTCACTCGTCGGAATCCTTCCGTCAACGCGATACTGCTCGTGCATCCGCTTTTTCAATGTCACCCGATCCGGCCTCCTACCGTGTGAGAATTAACAACGGCGCCCCTTCAGCAGCGCTGCAGCCAAGGTCTTCACCCATACCTTCAAGACCTTTCGGGGGTGCATCGTCAATAGCAGACGCGAAATCTATCCGGAGCTTGGCGGCAGCATCAACGATATCGCCTGGGGATGAGGTTCTCAGTTTGAAGGTTCGCTCGCTGTACGATTCTGGGGTAGGATTGGGGGGAAGCGATGCCGAGAGTCAGTTTTCGAAACGGGTATCCAGTATCTTGGAAGAGGGTGGGAAAGGGGGAAGTAAGGTTACGCGGAATAGCTGCGCGGGAAGGAATTCACAATCTGGCGATGAGGCTGAGGGGAGGGTTAGTTTGGCTGCGGCTAAGATCGAGAGCCCACTGCTTGGTGGGGCGGGGGGGCCGCGTGGTGGTCCGGCAGAGGAGGAGGTCAAACAGAGTGCCGATAGACCGAACGGTCTTGGGATCACATCCATGGAGAGGAGCGAATTTCTTTTGGCTGGAGGAACGGAGGACTGGGAGGATCTTAACGGGGGAGACGTGGACCGGTTTGTTCAGTTCTTTCCCTTCAAGATCGTTTTCTTTTTGCTTTTCCCCACCCTCCTCCAGCTACCATACCGGCATTTTCGCCAAACTGCCAGGAAGACGTCCCATGCTCCCGGACCTTTTTGAAATGTTACACTTCTTTTTTGCTTTTTCCCCCATCCCATACTCGATCTTGGACTCTCACTCGGAACTTGTCATACATCACGTGATACACGAACTGACCCTACCATATTAATGCTAAACAGATACGGCTTCATTGATCAGACGTGCGCACCGTCCACACCGAACCCGGCCTTCCCCTCACCAAATCCCCAGACCAAATCTCCAGCTTTCGCCCCCCCAAAGCGTATCTCCACAGCACTACACCTCCATTCGACGACCCCTCAAAAGAGGGGTCACCACTTACAGGTCAAGCTCTCCCCCTTCACAACATCTGCATCAGAGATGCTGCGTTCACCGCTCCCCGGTGCAACGGCTGCTCTCCACGCGAAGGAGAACAGCAGAGCCAAGAAGTGGCGGGAGATGGCTGTGATCCGGAAAAGAGGGGAACGGGGAGAAGAGAGAGGGAAAGGAGGGGGCACAGAATGGGGATTCGTCACAGTGGATTCCAAGTTGATTAGCAGAACCTGGAAGGGGATTCCAGATTGTTGGAGAGCGGCGGCGTGGCATGCATTTCTGACGGCGAGTGCCAAGAGGCGGGAAATTGGGAAGAGCGACACTGAATTGGTGACGATATATAATGTTGGTTTTCCCTCCTCCATTTCTTTTGTTCCTTGGTACTGCGTAGAGGGCCTTGGACTCTGGCGGAGAGTTTTCCACATTGCTTGGATGAGACGCTGTGCCGAAGGCTAGGCGAAGAAAGTCGGGTTGGGCTGGACTGGCTCCTCCCTTCATGAACTACTTGGGGCAGAGGTATTCTCGGGTGGGGCTCTTCTACAATATATGTTGCTGAAACAGTGGCTGGGAGAAAGTATTACATTAGTGGTGTGGTAGTACACACGACAGTCTTCAAAGAGCCTTACCCGGCCTCGCAACTCATTGTTCTGTCCAGGGGTTATATTATCAGGCCCCTACATTATCAAAATCACAGCAAACCGCCCCAAGTACCGGGTTTCAATAAAATTTGACCTAATTTAACTTTTTGATTGAATATAGGATTTCATAGAACGGCCATCGGCAGATGACGTCCAGATAGACTTAGACGTTCCTCGAACAATAAGTTCCCACATCATGTTCCGGCGGCGATACCGTGGCGGCCAGCGTCTCCTCTTCCGCACCCTTCACGCCCTTTCCCTCTACTTCCCGGAGGTAGGCTACGTTCAGGGAATGGCGAGTCTGGCGGCAACGCTGTTGTGCTACTACGATGAGGAGACAACCTTCATCATGTTGGTGCGAATGTTCGAGTTGAGGGGACTGGAGAAGCTTTATCAGGCCGGATTCGGTGGATTGATGCAAGCCCTAGACGAGTTTGAGGGCAGTTGGATGAAGGGTGGGCAAATTAGTCGGCGATTGGTAAGATGGATTCCCCTCTCTCCTTGCAAATCTCCCTTCCCTTCCTCCTTCGCAAAAATCATGCAGGCGAGCCGCCCCCGGAGTTTCAGGACAGGGGTGGTGCAGAAAAGAGTCTGGGGCTTTTTTTTTTTTTTTGTGAACAAGAGAAGAGGAAAAGAAGGGAAGAAAACAAAGGCTGCTACTGCACAAACGGTGGGTGAACGATTGGTGGTGGTGGAATGGGACCACTGGGACTGCAATGGGGGACAGAATTTTTTTTCCCCTCGCAGTCGTTGAGCTAGGGCCCCGCACCATCACCATCATCACCACCTCACCTCCCTCGTGCGGTAGGGCTCGAGATCTTCACCACCCCCTTACCTTGATCCCACTGATCTAGGCCCTAAAGAAAAGAAGTAAACCAGTAAGGGCGGTGCACAAACCCGCTCAAAAAAAAAAAACCTCCCCCAACCATCCCCAACGCAGCCCCGAACCAACCAGCCCGCAAACACCCGTCCGGTTACTGTGCAGTGAGATGGGAAGGCAGAGAAAGTAACTCAAACCAGCTAACACTTACCCACGAAACAGACAAGCCTAGGCGTAACCCCAACCGCATACGGAACACGTTGGTACCTAACCCTCTTCAACTACTCGATGCCCTTCGTAGCCCAGCTCCGAGTCTGGGACGTTTTCATGCTCCTCGGTGATCCGGACCCAGCCTCCAGTGCCATCGCCCCTGCCTTCAGTGGGAGTCTGGACGTCTTACACGCAACCAGCTCCGCACTGATCGACGGGATGAAGGAGATCCTGCTCAAGAGTGACTTTGAGGGCTCCATGAAGGTGCTGACCAGTTGGATTCCGGTAAAGGACGAGGAGCTGTTGATGAAGGTGGTTAAGGGGGAGTGGAAGGGGAGGAGAAAGAGGAGGGCTAAAGGCGGTGGTGGGAGCTTCGGAGGTGGCGCTACTAGCGGGGGGAGGGAGGGGCTGGAAAGTGCGAGCTAGGCGTTGCAGTCGTAGTAAGAGAGTAACGATGGGATGTAAGGAGAGAGGGCGAGCGGGGGAGGTGAGAAAGAGAGAAGGGAGGAAGTGAAGTCTCGTCGAGTTTGGTACAGTATGGCTGTGCGCCCTTCCGCCCTGAACTATGCGTTCGTCAACCTGGACCGGCCTTGGCCCACTTGCTCTCACCCACTCACACTCCGCAACCTGCCCGTCCCCGGATGGATGGATGCACAATACACAATCAGTCAGTCACACCCACAACCCTGCCCATCCACCGCCCATCCTTGGGAAAGCAGCAGCAATCCCAGAGTTTGCACTATTATGTGGTGGCGTCCGACCCCTCTTTTTGGAAAAACCACCACCACCATGACTCCAGTTTGCTTTGCCCTGCTCCGCTTTCTCAACCGTATCTGCGAGTTGTCTCTCTCTCTCTTTCCGCCTTTGTCCAGTTTTCCCCCACTCTCCTGCCCGCTCCCTAATGCGCAACCCCCAATCAATCTGTTTGTTGGCTCTTATTGCGACACATGGCTTTCTTTCTACCCTTTCCTTCCCTTCCCTCTCTTACTTACTCGCTATCGTTATTTTCTTATTCCATTCGCAGTCCTTTGGCTCCTTTCCTCTCCTTCCTTCACTTGAAATGGAGGGTGGAAGAGCAGCATAACATTGGGTTTTTTTCCTTGTTTGCTCTTTCCTTTTTTTTTTCTTTTTCCAATTGACCGCTATGACTATGGCACTGCCGTCTATCACATCATATCACATCGGAATGAATGTATGAATGGGTGAATGGATGAATGAATGAGTGGGATGGTCTGTGTTCGGCAAGGATGGATGGGTTGTGGGCGGTTGTTACTTTGCGTTATTTGCCTCTTTTTTTCTTCGCTCAACTTGACCCGACTTATTTGGCTGACCAGATCGGGCGGGTGTGTGCTTGGTATGGCATGGTATGGTATTCTATTTGTTCATTTACCACTTACTTCTTTTTCCTGTGCTGTGATACTTTTTATTTATTTATTATATTTTTATTTTATTTCATTGCTCTATGGTGCTTAACATGCTCGTGTTTTGACTGCTACGGTATAGTCTTCCAAGTGGGAGATTTTTTCTTCTCCTTTTTTCCTCTTCTTTCCTTACTCTCCTTCCACCCCGGGTCCGGTGACTGGCGTTTGTCTTATCTTTATTTTCCATTCGACTTTCCTTCTCTTACCTTCTATGGCACAGTGCAAACCCACTTTTTCCCTTTTTTCCCTTCCACCCGTACTATAACTCTAAACTAATCACCCTAATTCCTTTCTAATGCGGATTAATGTTTTTTTCTTTTTTCCTTTTTCCATCCCTAATCATCCTATCCCCCCATCTATCTATTCACACATTATCACCCAACGATCACTAGCTTGCTAGTAATGATTGTCCCATCACCACCCGAACCCGTCGAGTGGCGTAAACTAAAACCAAAGTAAAGTGTGGCGTAATTTGGGAAAAAGGAAAAAGAAACAAAGAAAAAGAAAAGGGAGGGAAGTGAGAAAAAAGAAAAAAGCTGTTGCATCCACAGCACTCGAACAGATCCCGAAACCTGACACCTCATCCTCGAATTCTTTCCCCCGGCCGCTAAATCCCCAGGATGATCCATGCTTGTCAAATTGCGGCTGACATGGACACCAAGAAGTGTGGGGAAGGGAACTTAGGGAAGAGGTCTGATAAAAAAAAGAAAAAGAAAAAAAGTAAAAAGTAAAAAAAGAAAAAAAGAAAAGAAAAAAGAGGTAACAATGCACCGTACCGTACTCGAGTACTCGAGTAAGTTACCGTATCAGACCGCAGCTTTCCCGTAGGCGTGAGCATGGCGGTATTTGGCCAAATTGATACATTTTCGGTAGTCCTGTATCATAGCCTCGGTGCGAGTTTGGGCTTTCCGATGGTAGTCTACTGTATCGGTAGCACGTACATCAAAAATGAACCCATCCAATCCACCGTGGTCCGTATCGGAATACGGTAACCGCGACACAACGTCATAGGCAGGGACTTTCTTTGCAAATTTGTGGAAAGCTCGATAATTGGTGCGGTGATGGGAGGGCATCACGTAGTCTACCGGCTGTGGTGACGACCAGTGGGGGAGGATTCGAGCGAACATTGTATAACGGCAGATTCCCGGCAAAGAGATTCCCGGACCGTCCACTTATCCACCTCGCTGTATCCGTGGTCCTCGTTTTATGTATAGCACGCAGAGGATGGCGGGTGGACGTGCTGTTGGCTGTTGAAGGGAGGATCCGATACGAGTGTGAAGAAATACAGTAGCGGGATAAGACTGACCACATGACAGACAAATAGGCAATTCTCTACATTGATGGCAACGGGGAGTTTTGTGTTTGGGTAAAAATGATTTCGTGTGCTGGCTCTACCGGTACTTCTCTATTTTATCTTTGTTTTGGGAGTGTAGATGTTCTTTTCACTCACCGGCTATCTCGAGTGGCAGTGCGACTCGAAGGGCCTCCGGCCGGCGCACCTAAAAATGGTGGTTGGGGGTTGTAAGGAGGTTCCGATTCCTGCAGTTATGGGGGGGTACGGTAGTTTGATGGGGAATTCCTAAAAGCTGTGTAAGAGATTTTCGGAGATGATCGAAGCTATCCACGATACACAATGTTTTGGGTCCTAAATATTTTTAGGCGCTTAGTGATTGTTCCGAGTGGCCGTTTTTTATATATGGGAAAATGGCGCTGTCCCACTATTTCCTTCACTTCTGTGTACCCTGGTACGGGCAGTAGCTCGGTGATGAATGAATAAAATTATGCATGCGGTATGTGCCCCCTCCATTTCTCGTCCAATGAGAGGTGAGAAGTGATCATTACCGTGCCGTACCGAGGATGAGATAGTCTCGTGTGTTGTACGAGTACTGTATGCATATGTGCCGGTATCGGGGCACTCGAACGGTACGAGACCCGAAATTGGATGAGTGGTGTCTTTGAAATCAGCAACTCTACCGGTAGCGGGAGAGCGTTGCCAGTCGGGGAGAAATTGGTGGGAATTTGTGATTCACGGGTGGTGCTAGGATAACTCTGTGATGTTGGGAAATGGTGGTCGTTGGCACGACATCTTTGGAAATTTGAGAATCGGGGTTTCCTACGTTGTGGTCAGGTTAGGGTTTAGTGGTGTGACAGTGACGCCAATGTTGACGGCCGGTGTAACGGCTGTCAAGGGTGGTTCAAGAGAGGGCTTGAAAAGAAGAGCCCGGGTTGGCCGATTTTAACGTGCAAGATGTTCCAAAAAGGCATTCATCACCGCCTCAAATTGTCTCCTGGACAGGTAAGACATTGAAATTTTCGTGCCACCCCTGTTAGCATCTGAGACATAGGTGACTAAGGTGAGTTTATTTGTAACTCTCTACATCCGTCCCTGTGTTCCTCAGCAATTATCACCGTAACTATGGCCATGTTGTTGATAGTGCTCGTGGCTGCGGTTTGGGGCCCACTCACGCGTCTTTGCCAAGAGTGCCTCCGCGAGCCGAATGTTTGGTGCGGACCTCCGCAGAACGTCGGCTGGGAGGAATTCCTGGCGAAAGAAGTGTGAACAGTTGTTCAACCAGGATATACTCGAGTAGGCAATAGGGAGGTTCTGCTACGACGGTCGTAATTGGAACTGTACTTATTGCCAGAGCAACGACGCTAACCATTCCAAATTGGTATAAGTACAATGTGGCTCAACTTTTGTAAAGTCCTAAGAACTGTTCTTAAATAAGACGGTCGTAACAAGGCTGTGTTGACATGTTTGTTGACGGTGATGGTGAGGAGATGAACCATATCCTAACTGACATCAAGCTGTGTTGTCAACTTTACTTAGCAAAACCTGAACTAATGAATTGTCTATCGCCACAACAGACTTGCCAAGATTTAAGCACAGGTCTTATTACGACCGTCGTAGCAGAACCTCCCTAATACTGCAGTGTTAACCATTTAATAATTGCTTGTTTCGTCTCCATGACCCTCGTACCGTACTTGTACCGGTCTCCCGATACGAGTGCTCGAGTACGATACCGGTACGGCGGAGAAGCTACCGATGCGTTGTGTGTGTGGCTTGACAAACATTCCGATCAGTAGGTCTAACCGCGGAAACGCAGGATGGCGCAAAAAGCACCTTTCACCCATATCAGGCTTTGTGGTCGTGCGCAACCACCGCTGATTGCTCATGTTCCGAACCCATTTGGAAGCGCCCGTGTCGAATTTGTTCCTTTTTTTCCCCTTCTCTCCGTTTTCTCTTCTCTCCCTCCCCGCTTTCTGTCTTCGTTTCTCTTTTCCCCACATTATTGGCGAGACAAACGGCCATCTTTACAGAATTCACCTGATCTATCAACTCCGTTCCATCACCCCCCTCAAATCCCAGTTTGGTAGGCGGTCCGTGCGTTGGGTTATCAGTACTCCAGTACCAGTATTTCACAGTTCCTCCCAAAATTTTGATCATGAATTTTGTCGAGTCTTCTGCTTTCCGTGCGTGAGATCGTTTATCTCCTTGGCGCACGCCAGGGATTTTAGTGTGTACCGATAATAACTTTATCCTCCTGGGATCCTGAGACAAGACACTGCTCGGCTCGACGAATCCGGCGCTATCAACCTCTTGCGTGGAACTTGATTTATGCCTCGGGGTCATTAACGACGCTGTACTAGTACTGCGGTTGCCATGGGAGCGTCTAATGGAACGAGTGAGAGACGGGGCCTCAAAAGTTAAAGGTGTAACTGAAGCAGTTTCGTAAGCCCTGTTATACTTTAGAACTCTGTAGTTTATTGCCAGGCATGGTGTATGAAATAATAAAGGGATCAAGAGGCTGGGGAAGGGTATTCGCCTGCATACCACTACCATCAAGTTCAGGCCAGATGTAAATTTAGGTAATTCTAGGAAGTCTCAATCCAAAACAGGTTGGCCGAGCGAAGCGTTTGAGAAAGTGCCTGATGGCTAATACGGCAACTCGGTTCCAGAGGGGGAAAACGAAACTCGGGGGTGCAATCATTCACCGACGAACTGGTAGAGAAGCTACTTGTACCAGTACTAGTATGCAAACCCCAAGTAGAATAAGTATGGTAAACAAAAAAGGGAAAGAAAAAAAATAAAAAATAAAAAAAAGAAGAGCAAGAGTATAACCGGTAAAATAGTGGGCAGCGAGCAGGCACTGTCACATCCTGTTCCAGCAGAGTAAATTCTGCACCGGGTGGACCGTACTAAACTGTTTGTTACCGCTTTATGCAGATTGAAGACTGCCCCCCAGAAGAACGCTTTGGCGCTGCTCTTCCCAAAGAGGTATTGGGGTCAGCAATTGGAAAGGAATATTTTGGGGAATCCGCAGATAAACTTAAGATTTTCAACTATTCACCGATTCAGTCAGACATCCGGCCATCGCTCGTGCGTCCTTCTGAGACCCTATCAGGAGAAGGTTATCCTTTCCTTTCTTTTTCCTCTTCTTTTTGCTTCTCCCGACATCTTCCCAAAAGGATCCAATTCTTCAGGCGTATGTTATCTCAGGCTGCGATGGAACCAGTAACATTATGCACTCCGTATCCCCGCCCAACAGCAACAACAGAAACCTCCTTCCCCACTTTGTGAAATCATAGGTATTGGTTCTTGGTCAGCTGTGAGGCAGACCCCCCGGGGGATATTCGTTGGAGATTATCACCAATCCGAGTTCTACTTAGGGGCGCAAGATCCTTCACTTCCTCGATGGCTCTTTCATACCGGAGCTGAACCTCGGAGCCGGCTGGACCACGGGTAAGTGCGAAAAGGATGACTGCCGGTGGGCAGAGAGAGACCTTTCTTCCCTCCCCGAAAAATAAAAAGGAAAAATATAGGATAGTTCAGTTTCGATACGATGGAAATATGGACCTTCCGCTCTCTTTGTCACACCCCCCCTTCCCCACCCAGCAGTGCACTCGGTTCCCTAGGCCGTAAATTGTCTGTGGGGTGCTGAAAGCTACTCGCCTTTACCAGGTAACTTATTGAGGGTTTAAAGGGCGAGGAAATAGCAGATTTTGCTCGGTATTCCGCCTTTGCATTTGTCTTGGGATCTGTAATTGGCTTGGATTTTTAGAAAGGGGTGAATGAGAGAAGGGAGGGAAACTTGAGGGAGTTCGTAATGAACGAGTGAGTTCAGAAAGGTGTGATGAGAAAGGAGAGCCGGCCGGGGAATGGTTGTCGTCGTTAAGGAAAGGACGTATGATGCCAATTTGATACCCCTCCGCATACTGCGTCGAACCAGAGGCCCCTTGATTGGGAGGAGGGAGAGATGTGGTGGAAATCCTTAACTGTAGCTAGGGCTACATATTATTTCGTCTCTTTTACCACACACAGTTCCCCTTTGGGTCAAACAGCGTAACAAGTACCAGTAGAGGAATACTTGTATGAGAACCAAGGTTCCAGTATCAACGCATCTCTGCAGTACTTGTACGATACTTCCCAAGCGAGCATGGCGTGATGCTTTGCCCTGATTTGTAGGTGATAAGCGTTGATAATTCCTGCGTTCTTGTTAGTCAGGTAGGCTGCCCCACTCTCTCGTGGTTAGTAGTGTGCAAGTACCGGCACTCTGCTGTACGAAGTGTTCGGGTACAAGTATGATACTTGCGCAGTAATTTACTCGTGTCCACGATCAACTCAGGCTTGGGGTAATGGTTTAAGAAAGGTCTCACTCGGGCCGCGCACAAAGGGAGAGCCCGGTGGATGGCAAGCTCTACTCTGCCTTCCTTGTGCTGTGCTGAATGATGCGGTAGGTGCCGTAGCCCGCTTCCCTCCTTATTTCCTTCTCTCCATCAGTATCTCCTCTTTCTCCCCGACACTGCCGCAGGTTTCTCATATTTACCGTCCGGCACCCATCCGTCCAGCCTTGTTTACATATCATTATCATTCTTGCCTCAAGACAGAGATAATATCATACCCGGACAGGGTGAGGCAGTGCCGATACTGGGGTGAAGCGAGGCTGTCAAGCGAGCAGCTGCAAGTGGAAGAAAAGGCAATCTCCATCCAGGATTCGCGGGAAAAGCAGAATCGACGAACCTAGTCAGACTGCAGGATGCGCATCAGGGTTGGACTGATTTGGGAAACTCTCCGTAACACAAACTGGAGGGAGTCTAGAGAAAACGATAGACCAATGGACGGAAGCAGGATTCAAGCATTGAGGGACGCTCTGTCCTTCTGTTTCTGTTTGTCTCTGTCTTCCTGATTTTGACAGGTCGATAGTGTTGGGCTCGTTATATTTTGTTTTTTTCGTCCATTTGCTTCTTTCCTGAAGCTTTCCCTGGTCAGAGATGCGGTCATTTTCCTTCTTGATTCCTGTTCCAGCCATCTCAGGGATCCTTGTGGATTGACCCGCCAATAACCGTCGTTCCGGGTCATATTATGATGACCCCTTCCATTCCTCAATTCCTACGGGTAGGGTGTGTTTCTCTTCTTGACCTCCTCATTCCCACCCCCCTTTAGCCTGCTCGAGTACGAGTACTCGTACTCGAGTACAAGTTGGACGTTTTCTGTACCCGCGGCTTTCGAAAACATGAAACAGCCCGCCTACTAGACGGGGCAGTCGGTTCCGAGTTGTCAGGACTGCTGGTCCGGGAAGAGTATTGGGTTTCCAACCTGAACTGAGCGACCCCTGGGTGTTCCTAACCAAACACCTTATATCCCCAGGCCCTGGACCCAGCTCTACTGCGAGGCCGTCCTAAAAGGGTAATTTAATTGGCCTCTGCTTCAGGGCTCCTGCACCTTCTCAAACGGCCAAAGTTCCCCCATTGTTGCCGGCTCTTATGATAGATCCACTCTTTGGTCAATCAAAGTCAATAATAGTGTAGCATATCACAGTCGGGAAGAACTGTACGAGTGCTGTTTGTGTGTATGATATTCCTTGTTGTGCAATGATATGCACTTGCTTGCCTCCTCACGAATACAGAGCGTACAGTAGAAGCACGCTTTTGCACGTAGTGTCGTTCACCCCCCTCTGTCTGCAGATGGGGTGTTACAAGCAAATCCTAGGCATTCCCATTCTGTTTGTTTGTTTGTTTACAGGGCCCTTTTTTTTTTCCTCCCCCTCTCCCTGTCTCTCTTTCTTTCTTTCCTTTTTCCTTTCCTCTTTTTCGCCCTAATACCGGTACCAGACCTGGAGGCACCGAGGACCCGCGGGAGGCTCAATCGAGTAAGGTTTCAACTTATCGTAGTAGGTATTGCGCTGTCATGACAGCTTGGGAGCCGTACCGGTATTCGGGGATGCGGAGCAGCATGGAACATGATGGATTATTTGTTTACTTATGCTAAGTTAGGTTAATTACTACGGTATTATTTTCTTATGTTCTTGTTTGACTGCCTTTCTCTGAAAAGTCAACCAGCCCCGCCATCCAGGTTCTTCACTAACCTCCAGAGTTAACCCCTCCCTCTCCATCTCCACACTTCCCGCATCGGCACGGAGTCTCCGAGACCGCTGACACGGCATCAAAACCCCTACCGCATTCTGGTCAAGATAAACCCTCTCTCGTCTGAACCTCCTTCAACCCGTGCTCTCATTCTGCCTGTCTACGGTATCTGTCCTCATTGAGACTCTACAGTACAGGCACGGTACTTCGCTTCGTGCCGAAAATCAATAGCTCCATCAGCCATCGTTCGTGGCGCGATCCTGTACCGAGATTAACAGTTCCCCACGGTTTCAAGTTAGATCACCTCATTATATACGAGGTTACAGTGCACAAACTTTGGGTTCTACAGCGCACACGGTAATCCACAATTATCCTAGCATAACAACCGATCACGGGAGGACCACTCAATCCCACCAAAAAGAGGGGTCAAGATATCTCGAAATATCGGGATCATTTCCACCCGATCGAAATCTCGGGGGGCCCTTTAAGAATTTTTTTTTTTTTCCCTTTCCCCTTTTCCCTTTTCCCATCTCTTTTTCCCTGGAGCGGGGGTGGTGGATTGGGAGTACTGTGGCACCGGTACCACCACTACCGCTATCGGTACCGGTACTGGATCGTCTTAGCACAAAGGGTACGGTACGGTACAGTGAGGCATGCGCTATCGCTGATTTGAACCGAGTCTGGTAAGGGTAATCTTTGTCTCTCCGATCAATCCCTGTCAGGCCAAAGCAAGCCTAGCGCGCTATCGCTGGTGCCAAGTGAGTGCGAACAAAGACGCATCCGTGCGACACCAACCACCCGCGGGGCCCAACAACCGCCAACCGTTGACTTTTTTTTTCGCAGCAGCAGCAACGACCACGGACCACGCTTTTTCCACGCGCACACCACGCTTTCCTTTGCTGCTGCTCTCTCTTCTTTCCAACTTACCTTTTTCTTGGTTTTGGCTGAGTTTATTTTACATATTTATTAAATAATTTTTTTCTTCAATTTCTCCCCATCCCCATTAAAAGATTATTCTGTATTCATCTATATATCTTTACACCACTTCTATTAACCCTTTTCGTTCTGCTGCGGGTAATTTTTTAAGCTCTTTTGTTCGATTTTTTTTTCTTTTTTTCTTTCCCACCCGTTGATACTTTTGGCTGCTCAAGCTTCCTCAACTTGTCTCTCTCGTCGGGGAAGGAGGCTCTGTTATTTTCTGTTTCTCGTTTTATTTTCCTTGCTATTTTATCTCCTTTTCACTCTTGTTGTATCCCTTCTCTCTGGTGCAGTTGAAATTTTTGTTTCTTCACGACCGGTCACTGCTTTTTAGGGTCTGGAAGGGAGCTGCTCCGGGGCTCTGGTGTTCTTTCCTTCTGCACCTCTACAACCCCCCCCCCCCCTCCCCCTCTCTCCTTGTTTACCGTATCTTCCTTTTCTCTCCAGAGTCGCTCCTTGGTTGTGTGTCCCTGGCTATCTTCAATTCTGGAAACCTTACATTTCTATTCGACGGCTCTTTTTTTTCCCCTTCCACTTTCCTAGCCTGTGGTTTTTCTTCCCTTTCTGTTTGATTATTACTTTTTCGACATTTCCCCCCTCCACCACCCCCCACCTCCGCTTCATCGAGTTCACTGCTTTTGGTATAAGCTAGGTGGTGTTGCAGTGAATCTTATTTTTTTTTTTTTCTCATCCGGAGTTGCTGCGCAAGCTGGTCAATTCCTCTTGGAAAGTGAGAGTGTGTGTGAGAGAGGGAAAGGGGACGACTGGAAAGGGAACGGTTGCTCGCGGGCCTAGTTGAGCTCTGCTGGCATAGCTACACGGTGCGTGTTCATTCACCATCGTACTTCCACCTGTCCCGTTTGCAGGATTGCAACCGGCAGGTCGTCCGTCTTTCTCGATTTTTGGACCCTTTTGGTTGGCCTATAGCGGAGGGGGGGGGGGTGGACTCTTCTTTTGGTCCAAGGATAGACCCTCTTCTGCTGCGTACATACATACGCAGCTAGGTAGGGCGTCCACATCGAACGAACTTTTTTTTTTTTTTTTGCGGCTGGGATTCGTTTCGCTTCAAGCCCCCTCTCATCCGCCACAAATTGGTTTTGCTGCTTGCTTGCTTGCTGCTACCTCTACTTCTGAATTCCGGTGCCGCTGGCTGTTATTATTGCGTGGTGCTTCTGCCACTTATTTCTTTCATTTCTGCCTTTACATCCGTTACTACTGCTGCCGCTGCTGTATTCGACCACCACTGGTTGTGCTGCTGCTGTTACCGGCTATTACACCTGTGCGGTTTAGTAGAGCACAATTGCGCTGCGTGCGGGTGTGTCTTGCGTGTGTGTGTGTCTGTGTGTGCGTGTGCGTGGGTGTGTATTTTCTTTCGTGTTTCATTATAAGGTTCAGCTTCCCCGAGTTTCCTGAGCGGGTAACTACCACCCACCCCTCCAGACACCAAACAAATATTTGTGACGCTAACCCTATCCTTTCTATGTAATGTCTAGGTAACCGACTGTCGATGCTTCGGACTTCCAGTAGCTGTTTCCGAATCTTTTTCTCCTCTAAAGATATTTCCTCGTAGTGGCCATTCCGGCTGCCGTCTTGCGCAGCGCTCCGTGCCGTCTCTATGACTACTCCTCATCGGGGGCTGCCACCTCCGCCGGCCATGGCTCTGCCATCGCCTACGCAAACTCCAAGCGGCCTGGGTCCACTCCCTCCCCAATGGCATAACTCTGAGGATATCGTCAGGGTTTGGCTTCTGGGAAAGACGGAGGAGGAACGGCGAAAAACCGAGGAGGAACGGCGGAAGGCCGAGGAGGAGAAGACGAAGCAGGAGAAGATCCGGGAAGATACAAGGAAACTAGATCTCGAGATGCTACGGGAGTCTTCCAGGATTTTGATACCGCCGCCGCTAATACCAATCGTGCTGGCTGGGGGGGGGGCTCTCAAGGGCGCTGGGGGGGAATGGCTGAATGACTACATCTCTCAGCACATGGGGCATCTCATACAACAACAGCAGCAGATGGTACAACAGCAGCCTCAGCAACCGCAGGTCCATCAAATGCCGTCTGTACAACATTGCACGCAGGCCCCGACGCTGCGAAGAGAGACTCGTGTAATACCTCAGCAGGGTGTCGGGCCAGCTCCTCATCCTCAGCAGATGGGGCCGCCTCAGCAAGCGGGCATGGTGCCTCCGCAGGCGGCCCAAGCTCCCCCTCCCCTGCCGCCCTCACAGGGTTATAGCCCGGCATACCCACCGCCGCCCGGCGGTCCACGGGGTGGACCACAGCAGCCTCCCCCTCCCCCGCCGCCGCCCCCTGTGCAGCAATCCGGGCCTCACTCCCGTCTGCCAAAACTGGATACAGGTGACCAAAGGCACGCCCCGCACCAGCCGCCAATGCCTACTGGAATGCCACCGACCCAAATGGGCGGACATCCTGTTGGCCCTCCCATACCGCAACACACCCCACATTCATCTCAGCAACCCCCAACTCAGCCGGAGACACCGGTCTCCCAGTCCCCGTCAATATTCTTTCATCATTGGCATCCACCGCATAGTAGTAACGTTGGAACGTCTACACCGGTCCAGGCCACAGCCTCACCGCAAGGGCAATTGGGATCCCCGTTTGGTCGCCCGCCACAAGCCAACCAGAGCACGGTTGCCGAATACACAAACTCGCCCAAGAAGCGAAAAACCTCGACTCAGCAGGGACCATCCGCTACTGCTCCTCAGTCATTCTCGCCGAGCTTTCCTGCTACACCATTACCCGCTAGCACACCTCGAACGCGAAGGGGTCACTCAAGGAACCGTAGTGATACAGCGGGCTCAGGAACTCGGGGGTATGAACCCTACCCAAAAGCAGCACCCCGGGGGCATAGAAGGTCAATTGGTGAGGGGCCGGCCCATGAAGGTGGGCCACCGTCGAGTGGCAATGGAGGTGGTGGACCGCATCACCCACATGACCAACACCAACGTGAGCAGCACCAACAGCAGCAGCTCCAGCAGCACCAGCACCAACAGCACCAGCAGCAGCAGCAGCAACATCAACAGCATCAGCAACATCAACCGCACCAGCGTCCGCCTTCTGTCCCTCCCCCTCCCCTCTCGCAGCATAGACCATTTTCGCCCAAATCAGAAGGCAGGAGAGAGACCTATCAACCTCAAGCTACTTCACAGCCACCGCCATCCGAAGGAGGGGAGGGGGATAGTCGAAGCAAAAGTAGAAATAGCAATGGGCGGGATTGATACAGTAATCGCCAATGTTTTCTTCCCTTGACTTGGCTGCTACCTAACGACACTGATGATTCTCGTTCACAAAAGTCTCATTAAAATTTGGTTGTACCGCTACAAAAGAAAATTTCCATCATCTGATTTACCAGCACTAGGAGTTTGCTACCCTGTATTACTATCGCCTGTTATTTTCTTTATTTTTTTTTTCCCGTTCAAAACCCTTTTCCAACCTTCATTTCTACTGTCTAAATACCTAGGGCTTTTCTTCTTTTCGCTTCGCTCTCGACAGGGCCGTGCGCACCTGTCTAAGGTGCCTCTATGCTTGTTCTGTCCGGAATGATGGAAAAACATTGTATTCATTTCTATCATAGTTCTGATATCTTTTTCCTGGCCCCCTTTGGCCACCATTTTGTCAAATAGCGTATTGTGGGAGAGGCGCACCTTGGTTTATTTTGTTTCATATTCTTCCCTTCCTAAGTTGCATACCGGTATTCACCTCAAGTCACCTTTATAGCATTACTGGCTCCCACCAATTTACTGAGGGAAGGGCTCGATATCGGGATTGTAGGGGGTAAATTTCAAATCTCGGTTTTTTTTTTCTTTTTTCTTCCTTTCATTACCGGTGTTTTGGATTGGGCTAGGAAGAATGGAAGGTGGGGGGGGGGGCTTAAAAAAAAACTGTCAGTGACCTTCCTGTACTGTACGGGGCATCATTACATGCACCTGTACTATCATAGGTGTCTCTAGCCTTTTAGTTAGGGAAAAGGGGGGGTTTTTTTTTGCATTTTTTTATATCTCTTCTCTCTTGCCTGTGGGAGGATCATGTATTACTATATTTTTATCATGGTATCCTATCCAAATATCAATCAATCAATATACGGTACCAGTTGAAGAAATAAAATAAAATAAAAACTGCGAGGTTCAGAGTTGATATCATGCTGTCTGGATTAACCTGCCAAATCTCCCACTTACTCGTACCCATTGCGGCTTTCCATCGATCGTGCCGGTACTTGTGTCATTCGGCGCCCCTAAAAAGTTGTTTTCCATTCTGGTGATCTCTCGCGCTCTCACGTGCTGCGCGCTTTCCAAGTACAAGTACCGGTACCGCACCGTACCGCATGATACCATACCATCCACAAACAGGGTGGTCTATGATACTTTTGTAGGTTTTCCTTTCTTTTCTTTTCTTTTTTCTTTTTTCTTTTTTCTTTCTTTTTTTTCTTTTATGAAAAAAAAAAAAAAAGGAAAAGGAAAAGGAAAGAAATGAAGGGTACAGTAGACCGACGGACAGAACTTTCAAGTCGTCACTTTGTCAGCTCATCACCTGAGGCGAGAAAAGAGAGAGAGAGAGAAAAAAAGAAAGCTATTTCAAAACATTGCTTTTTCCAAATAACCAACCGAGCGAGCCAACCTGCCTTGCCCGCCGGGCCTGCCGATGGTAAGGTAAGGTACTGTACCGGTAAGAACTATGGAGCTGAAGCTGAAGGTCCTATCATACATAGATCCGTCGTTCCCAGCGCGAGCACCGGTCTGCAACGAGCAAATTACCGGGACGGGGCCTCTGCCTGCACCGCGGTAGGCTAATTGTGCTCGGGGTACTGGATTGTACTTGTACGAGTACAGTACTCGCACTCGTATCATAACCTGTTCGAGTGCTGTGCTGTATGTACGAGAGTACTCGCACTTAAATGCCGTGCCATGCCAAACGTACTGTATGATGCCCGGACAAGTATCGTACCATTCCCATTCTGGCAGGGAAGGTACTTTGTATCCTACTCGAATATGATACTTCGTACAGTACATGTATGTAAGTAAGCGAGCAGGGTAACCTTGCCTACCTCTCCCCCTTGTCTGCCTTACCTATTCTACCTTTCCTGCCTCCCTTTGTTCCTCCATTCCTTCCTTCTTTTGTGCCAATCATTGCCACTGTCGGACCGCTACCGTACTGCACTCCCCCCTCCCCCTTCCTCCTCCATACCCGGTGAGGTGCTAATGAAATACAAGTAGAGATGCCGTCCCGGTGAAGCTTGCTTATTACCGGGCTCTTTCCTTCGTTCTTTCTTTCTCTCCCTTGTGTGCACTGGCAGAGGGGAATCTCGGTAATTAAGATTGGAGGGGTGTCTTATCTTGGCGGTATTTACTTTTTTTTTTTTCCTCTCTTCCGTGGCCTTGTGTGTGATCCCTGCGGGGGATCATTTCCATGCACCGATTTCACAGCGGCAGGCGGAATTGGTTAGCGGATCTTCCGCCCGTGACCGATTCCGCTTCCGCCTCTGCAATTGCCGACGCTGGTACTTGTACCTCCGAGATCATAAGATTCTACACCAATCAATCCACCGACCACCAAGACCGCACGCTATCCGACCTCCTCGCCTCCACCAATTCAGAACTCGAGCGTTCCCACGATTACATACAGACGCTCTTCCCTCTGCCCGAGCCCAGCCCGTACAATCCGCTCGCGCCCACCATTGGCCCGGCCACCGCTGCGACATTCCGCTCGTCGTTGGATCTGCGACTTGCGCTGCGATCCAGCCTGCGCCGCATGTTGTCGTTCTATGGTTTCGAGACGGCTGTAGATGCCCGGGGGGAGTTGGTCATTGGTAGGGGGCGTGGGTGGAGTTCTAGGAGCGCGTTTTGGAGGAGGAGGTTTGATCATAATCATCTCAGGATTACGAGGATCATTAGGTGTCTAAGGGTGCTAGGGTGCGAGGGGGATGCTAGGAGGGTTTATCGTGCGGTTAGTCGCTCAGAAGGGGTTGGTGGGAGGAGTTTGGTGTTTTGGAGAAGGGCTTCGATGAGGGAGTTGGAGGTGCCGCCTGAGGATGAGGATGGGGTGGGGGCTGTGGGGAGGAGTGATAATGGTTACGATGATGATGATGATGATGAGGAGGAGGAGGAGGAGGAGGAGGAGCAGGAGGAGCAGGAGGGTAAGGGTGAGGGTGAGGAAGGGATGCGATGGTGATGTGGGTACGGAGTGCAGATTGTGTCGAAGGTAGGGAGTGGGAAAGCCCGGGGGGGGGGGGGGGCGGGAGTGCTATGGACGGTGATGGCTCACGATACAAATCTGCTTTGAATTACCCAGAACACTCGGCACGACACTATATAAATACCGCACAGACTCTCGTAGTCGCTACCTACTTCACCCAGAGCGTCCGTATTGTATCATACTGTACATATCCGTACTTGGCACATTTCACATTTCCTTTTACTCATAAATAATAATATTCATTACCACCCTCCTCGCCCTCCTGCACCCTGAACAGCAGCCACTATCCGCCTCTCCTCAATCCCATGGGCCATACTAACTACCCAAACCGACCACTAAATCCTATACAATCACGAAAAATCACTCGACAAAGCCCGCCCACTATTGAAACAATATTTCCAAAATATAACGACACCCCCTCCCCAGTTCCGTCGGATTTTTACACCCCCGGGTTCTACCCGCCAAAACCGCACGCCACGATGTCCCCCCCCCCCCTCCCCTTCTTCACCTTCTCTAGGCAGTCCACGATTCGCCGACACACCAATCAATCAATCAATCAATCAATCAATCAATCCATCGAGTGAGCCATCGGTGACTCGTAACTCCCTCACGTGGGGGGGTTTTTTTCTTTCCCGGGTCACTACCGCCCATCCCGCCATATCGGGCGTGTGTGTGTGTATGTGTATGTGTGGGTAGGTTAGTTGATCGGTTAACAGAATCCGATTTTCCGTCCTTCTCTATCTTATCTATAGTACCTTTTTCATCCCCCTACTGTAGTACGTACAGTACTGTTTGTTTTTTGTTTGTTTCCTCCGCTTGGGGTGGGTTGTTCATCCGTTCTTGCTCCTGTTTTGAATTCGGAGAGGCGGTGGGCGTCTATCTACTAGGTTTTAGATTTTTTTTCCTTCTTTTTTTTCTCTCTTCGTGGTGGTGGTGCGGTCTTATCTTGCTTGTATAATAATCGATGATGCTTTTGATTGATTGATTGATTGATTATGTATTTCCTCCTTTGCTGATGGGCGTGGTTGGTATCGTATAGTAGGTAATTTGCTACTGGGAGCACCCCGTAACTTGTGGACTTTTTTTCCCCTTCCTTTATCTCTCTCGTTGATTGGAGAGTTGGGGGTTCTTTGGCGGCGTTGTTGGCGGTGAATGGGATCGGGGAGGGAGGGTTGGTCAAGTGTTGGTGGATTCATTGAAAAGGAATTGGGAAGGTATGAGAGAGAGAGAGACCTTAACCTCCCGTTATAGCGATATCAGGATGATAATAATAATAATAATACGGTATCATACACCTCCCCCCCCCCCCCCACCTCAGTCTCTCCGAAATGCACCATTCTCACCAAACCCAATACCATCTAAACAATCCCATCCCAAATCACGCACGCATTCAACCCCTCTAGAGAGAAAGAAAGAAAGAAAGAAAGAAAGAAAGAAAAAAGTACCTAAATCATAGCCATAGCGACAAGGTACTCCCCATCATGCGAAATACTCAATCCACCTCTCCTCCTCTCCACAACCCCCTCCGCGATTTCGAGCCCCTCCCCACCGCCACACCCCTTAAAAAGCCAAAGAAACGGTTGTCCTATTACACACACAAAAAAAAAAACATCAGCCTACAGAAAG